GAATTACTTTCCTGGAGGTTAGCATCAGCCATGCTCATGGGAGGCAGAAATGGGTCTCTCAGATGATTAATAGAAAGCACTTCACTTTTAGATGCGTTAAAATTAATAAACCATTCTTTGCACCAGTTTACAACAGACTGTAAGTCGTTTTTCAGATCAGCCATCAATTTGACCACATCGAACTAGTAAATAGGTATGTCATCAGCATAGATTTCATCAGGAAGGTTGTTAATGAAAACTAAAAATAAAGTTGGACCACGGATAGAGCCCTGGGGATAACTTTACAACTTGAAGAAGACCGAGATATATTGCTAGCGCAAATGAGGAATATTTGAAAATTTATTCAAATATAAATTCTTAAGTGACGTTTTATTATCTCTGGAGGTCTTTCATTTCAAATGGTCTAAGGAATAAACAATCTGAACCTCCACTTGAAGCAGGGAAATATAAATTAAATCTTGAGACTTTAACAAAGTTTATTAACGCTCAAAAGCGTATAAAGATTTTAAAGTTTTTATTTTCTCCCTATCTTTTTTCTTCACACACACACACACACACACACACACACACACACACACACACACACACAAACACACACACAAATGTTTGAGAAATCTTGTTTGTGTGTATATAAAATGATTATAATTAATCAATAAAAATCTTTCTAGAACTAGATAAAATTAACAATAATTTTCAAGATAATTACATCAAGTTCAGCTGTTCATTTTTTGACGGAAAGTGAATCTAATGTCAAAGAAGTAATCAATGCTCTTAACATATGTGTTTGCTGTACATCTGGGTTGGAAGTCTTAATCTCATCATTTGGACGTGGCACTTCAAGAATGAATTCTTGGTTAATAACTTCTTTTATCGCACTTCTAGAACTCTCTACGGAACGTTGGCATTAGAGAAAGAAAATACTTTAGATATGGAACGAATATATCGGAGAACTTTCCCACGACGAAAGAGAACAACCGGCAATACACAAATATCGACGGACCGGAAATATTAAAATCTGGAGTGCAGTTTACACTGGCCAAGTTGAACAGAAACAAAGCGGTAGGCCCAGACGGAATTGTAATAGAGATGCTGGCAGCCTAAGATGATTTCGGCATAAACAACATTACAGAAATAAATGAAATCTACCGGAAGTCCTAAATAAATCCATTTTCATAGCACTGCCTAAGAAGCTAGGTACAAATGAATGTGAACTCCATCGGACAATCAGCCTAATGAGCCATGTAGGAAAGCTTATCCGAATTCTGAGGGATAGAACGCGTATTAGAATCAGACCAGAAAAATGATAGGAATAGTGCAGGTTCGTCAAAGACACTGGAACAAAGAACGTAGAATGTTATCACAAACGCAGAAGGACGTGTACCAATGTTTTTATATTACGCAAAGGCGTTCGGCAAAGTACGTCTCAAAGAACTGCTCAGCAATCTTGATATATTTGGGAAGTATATTAGAATAATCAAGAACATATACTGGCATAAAACCGCCTGCATACGGAGAGAAAATGAGTTCAGTGTATATACAAAAATAGAAAGAGGTGTAAGACAAGGATTTGTCTTCTTACCGGGCTTATTCAAACTATACAGCGAAGAAATAGAAGTCCTACTAGTATTCATTATTGGCGGCTACAATCTTAACGTAAGATATGCAGATGGCATTGTGTTAATAGCAGACACGAAAAGAAAACTACAAAAACTCGTACATAAGGTTGTGAAGGGAAGCAAGAATATAGAATGTGTGGTTCAAAAGGAGATACCAAAATGAAGCAAGTACAAAAATTTAAGTATCTAGAAAGTTTTAACAGAGGAAAGCGTGACACTGAAATAGGGAGGCGTATTGAGATAGCCAAATATGCATTCCAAAAGTTAAGCACAGTATTAAGAAGGAAAGTACTAAAGAAAAGAGTACTAAACTATTACGTGATATCTGTCCTTCTGTATGTCAGTGAATGCTAGACTTTAAGCAACAGAAATGGTGTTCTGTAGAAGGATTCCATGGACCGAACATGTGAGCAACCACAAAATTGAAACATACTTAACATAAGGCAGTTGAGGTTTCTAGGGCACATAATGAAGAAAGATGGTTTGGAAAAATCTGATACTCGCAGGATAGATTGAAAGCAATGTATTTGCGTGTGAGTGAATACAAAGAATAAACTAGAATTGGAACTCGGCTCACCGATTAACAATTCCGAGACATTATTCATTACACCTTTCGCACATCCCAGCTTACAGCACTTGGCATTCCCAAGTGGTCATTCACATGTTCAGTCAATGGAATTCTCAGCGTCCTTCTGTAGAATTACATTTCTGTTGATTCATGTCTTTTTCGTATGTGAGAGAGATTGTCAAACATTCATTGTTATAGAGGTGGACTGATATTACATAACCGTTTAGTACTCTTTTCTTAGTTTTTGACGAATTTAAATATTTTAAGTTCTTGCAGTTTACTTTTTATATCTGCTATTAGCACTATCATCTACATGTCATATACTGTTGAGATTGTGTCCACTAATAATAAATCCTAATTCTGCCAGTACCGCCTCGTGGTAAAAATTGAATGAGTTCAGCACAAGATACATCCTTGTCTTACGACCCTTTCTATTTTTGTTTATTTATTGAATTCATTTTCTATCCGTATGCAGGCGGTTGGCTCCTAGTCTAAGTTCTGCATTATTCTAATATCTTTCCCAAATAGATTAAGCTTACCTAATTGTTCAAACAGTTCTTTGTGTCGTACTTTATTAAACATTTTTGCATAATCTACAAAACATATGTATACGAGGGTGGGCTGAAAAGTTCATAGTCTGACTATGAAGGAGTGATGCTAGAGCTGTGAAATTAATGCATTAATTTCAACTTTTATTAATAATTGCAATGTTTCTTTCCAGATAAACTGACATCGGACTGTTTACAAAAGATGTCAAATGTAGCTAGTAGCGACTTCTCTTGAAAATGGACAAAATTTGGCATCGTGTAACTGCAGAAAAAGAGTTTAGTCGCCAAGGACATTCATGCTGATATGGTTGCTACATTAGAGGATGACACTCCAGCTTTATCAATCGTGCAAATGTGAGCAGCTGAAGTAAGGAGGGGAAGAGATATTTTTGAAGATAACCCAAGGTCTGTAGATGCTGAAACTATCACCACTGAGGAAAACATTGATCGTGTTCACCACATGGTGATGATGACAGGTGATTGACTATAAATCAAATAGCCAATGCTATTAGCAGATCCTTTGAGTAAGCTGAGAATATTCTGCACAATGAACTTTGCATGACGAAGGTTTCTGCTTGGTGGGTCCTATGTCATCTGACACCTGATCAAAAGCGTACCAGGCTGATCACATCACGGGAAAATCTGACATTGTTTAAGACAGATCCAGCTAATTTCTTTGAACGTTTTCTAAACCAAGATGAGTGTTGTGTTGATTACTCTGAGCCAAAGAAAACGAGACAATCCATTCAGTGGAAATACTCCTCCTCATCCGCTCCAAAGAGGGTTTAGGTCGTTTTATCTACCGGGAATGTGATGGCCTAATTTTTGGGGATGTAAAAGGCATTGTATTGATTATCTTCAAAAGACCCACAGTGAAGAGTACTATGTCAACTTGTTGAGGCAGTTATGAAAGGCTATCAAGACCAAACTGACAAAAAGGCTATTGCTTCATGGGGACAATGCCCCAGCACGATTCCTTGAATTCAGTGGCAGCCGTGCGTGTCTGTGGCGTTGAAATGATTGATCACCATCCCCTATTTTCCTGATTTGGTACTATATGACTATCATCTGTTCACCAACATGAAAAGATATTTGGCTGGGAACCAGTATCACAGTGATGATGACGTCACGATCACTTTTTGACCAACAGGATGAAAGCTTCTTCAATGGAAAGAATGAAAGAACAGGACTAAACCTCATTTAATCACATTCCATGAGTATCTTGATCAACCGATCCTCGTACCTCATTCTGCATTTTTTTTATCGCTCTGATATCATTATTAACATAAATATTGCATTCTTATTTCACGAGTCTTTAACAGAATCACACTGTCCTATTTCCGCCTTAGTTCGGCTACGCGCTGTATTAATCAGAATTTAGATCATCTGATGAAACTCGCACTTGCACCTGGTTTCTTAGGCAGTTTTTTGAAAATGGTTCTACTCAGTTCTTTCGGTAAGTCACCACTGTTGTATATTTATTATTTCTTTAATCTTCTCAATGCTAAAATCAGCTCAAGCTGTTAGCATCTCTATTACGATTCCATTTTGTCCTGTTGCTTTGTTCCTGTTCAACTTGGCCAGTGCTGATGTTACTTCAGGTTTTAATATTTGTGGTCCTTCCGTATTTTGTGTATTACAGGCTTCTCTTTCTCGTCGTGGACAAGTTCCCCGATGCATTCACTCTTTCTCTAATATTAGCGATAATTATTCATCTGTAATCTACTCTTTTTTTCTCTTTAGGATGATCTCGTCTGCTAATGCCACTAAAGCTAAATGTCCCTTAATGTGGCCCACTTTGAATTTCCATTCCATTCAGTTCATTGTATCTGCTTTTAATGTTGTCCGTATACATCTTGTTGCAATTCGGGTCATTCAGGAGTGTCGTATTGCCTTCGCTTGCTGTGCACTATTGGATTCATTTTTCTCAGTGTTCATTGTAGGTTTCTAGCCCGAATTTGTCAACTATTTCTCAATATCGCCCCCTTCTCCACTTTAGCATTCAGATCTCCCATTACAATTGAAAAGTACCAGGTTTGTGTGAGGATGTAAGATTCATTCAGCAACTACTACAACAAAGGTAGTGGGTACGTTATTCAATCATAAACATCGGCGTACAATGGGAGTATCAAGAGAATTTGAACACTGTCTGGCTATTACCAGGCATATATTAGAGTACTTATAAAATTGTTGCATCATAATGATTATCCATAGATTTTTTTTTATTATTAGGAATTGTTTGTAGATGCTTTGACACATAAACTTTTATTAATGAAAAAAAAAATCAATAGGATTAAGAATGAATAAATAAATGAATCCCAGAATTTTGATGATTTCTTTGAAATGCGATATTTTGTCAGAGGCGTAGCGAGGAAGTGAATAAGATTTCCAAAAGGAAAATATGAAGGAGAAATAGTAAAAAAAAGAAATTGAAAAATGAAATAAATGTAACTGGACAATATAATGAAAAAAGGACGGAAAAAGGAAACGAAGAAAAAAGGAAGGAAGGAAAAAGGAAATGAAGAAAAAAAGGAAGGAAGGAAAAAGAAACGAAGCAACGAGTGAAGCAAAAAAGTAAATGAAGGAATATAAAATCGAGACAATGTAAAAAAGTATCAAAAGACAAAATAAAGAAATGAAAGAAAAATGAGGAAAAATAAAAAAAGCAATTAGGAATAAAAAAAAAAATGAACGAATAAGAATTTTATAAAAACGAAAAAAATTGAGGGCAAAAAAAGTAAAAAGAAAACTCGAATAGAGAAAGACTATGAAGAAAAGACGCAGCAAAACTGCAGCTTTGAAGAAGACTTGCCTGTTAACAACCAAGGGGATGAGCATTTTTGGTGATAAGTGGGACACTGATCATTGGAGCGATTAGCTATAGAGAACAATATCAGTCATTTTATGTTCATTTCCGGTATTTATCATTCCAAAACAACTGAGAAAAAGATGGAAAGAAAGAAGAGATAAAATGTGAAAGATAGAGTCATATATATATATATATATATATATATATATATATATATATATATATATATATATATATAGAGAGAGAGAGAGAGAGAGATATATAGAGATAGAGGTAAAAAAGAGATGTAGAGATAGAGAGAAAGAGATGAAAGGAAGGAAATTTTAATCTCGTCTCTCTTTGTACTCTCACTAACATAACTTAATCTTGTGGTTAATCTTCCAAGTAGGGAGAAGTCCTGCATGTATATTTAACTCGGTTTTCAAAAAACTTGCTTTTATTTAATTTCAACCCAGCCGATTAGCACGTGTTCGGGGTTCGAGTTCTAATCATTGACAAACAGTTCCACCTTACTTCAAAACAGTCTTTCTCCTATAGTATTTTGATTTGTGCCAGAGAAAATAAAGTTTAAACATTTATAAATATTTTACTGTAATACATCAAGTGTACTTTTAAAATTATTACTCTTGCACTGGCGATGGTAGGTAGCGGTGTCTTGGTCATAATAATGGTGAACTGTTGAAATGTTTATGAGGCTGTGAAAGAGAAGAGTACAATTATAATTAGAAATGACTCATATAGGAAAACCTAATAATAGCAAGGACTTAACAAGATATCATTTTCATATTGGCTTGTTATTTGTGACAGCACGGGTAGACTTTTATTCATAAATGAGAGAGAATTGAAAACTAGGGAGGAGGGAAGTCGGGTGGGGGAGAGAGAAAATACATAATACAGTGAAAGACAAGCGAAAAATGAGTGACAAACTACCAAAGAAAAGTATATGCACGTGAAATATGAAAAAGAGAAAGAAAGTTTAAAGAGATAATAAATATACTGACGTTAATCTCTTGTCAGAGAAAGAAAAAAGCTTTAAAAAATCAACAAAAATTGAATTTCTTACTTCAGAAACATTAATTAGGTCATTTGATGACAAATGCTTCACATTGCTGCCATAAAATCTGGCATCACGAAGAATGTCTTTAAACTGACTATATTTTCTCACTTTGGTATTCATTTCAACAGACCCTTACACAATTTTTGGACACTTTCCATCAGATCTTCATATTTTCATGTAATTATATTAGGAAGAATATTCAATTTACTGAAAAAATGTTTGATCGACCAGCTGAAAGGTTTGGCTAAAATCTTCCGTAAAATTAAGTCATCTATTAATTATACATTAGCAAAAAATCCACATTAAGTATATCCTATACATTCGTATATGAGACGCCCTCGTTTGTTCACACAACGTTAATATTACAATGTGTTCCATAGATCGATTACAATTTTTATTTTATATAAAACAATGTAGGTTAAAAAGTAATATAGAAATTTTCAAAAAGAAGACAATCTAGCAATACAAGGCCTTTCATATCTTGTGCTAAAATTTCTTTAATTCATTTATATTCTTCACTGATTTTAACGATGCCTGAAGATTTGTCTAAACATTTATAAATCACTTTATTTACAGTTATAGTCGCAGTATGTTGTGGGAGAAAAGAAGTTTTTACGCAGAAAAACGAAGGTATATCAAGGCCAGTAGACGAAAAGAAGCATTTATATTGTACAAATATTTTTCAACATGTACTCAATCATTGTCAGTGCATTTAAACAAAAAAAGTCTCCATGAAAAACAAATAGAGAATTACACAGCGAAAATTTCAGATTTGTATCGACGTATATATATATATATATATATATATATATATATATATATATATATATATATATATATATATATATCCTAGCTGAGAAGCCTCCGTTCGGACGGAATTTAGGCTAGCTTCTGCTGAGGGC